AGTGGATACTACCGCGCGTAGAACATGCATGATGGGCCGACCTATTATGGCGTTGTAGGGGGAGGGAGCCGCGACTACCAGGAAGGTGTGCTCAAATCGCACAATGTTTGGCCACGTGCTAGCTTCTACAGGTTCTGTGATTCACCTAAGAGATCTGATTTCCTCACCGCTGAACCCTACCAAAGGAGTATTTTCCGGTCTCAAGTCGCTCTACTGTAACTGTAATTTATCAAAAGTCTCCTTGAAGAGTATATCTATGAGCTGCCTGAGTCTACCAATATCCGCTTTACCTCGAAGTCGTTAACTCGCAGCTTCACTACCAGGGCATCGTCATGAGAATACTGGATCTCACGTGCATCATCCTCAATGAAATATATCAATTCTTCAAGCCGAGGTCGCTTTGGCGGATTTTCCTCTTCATTCTCTAGCTCGTGGACCGAGGTCCTCCCGACTGCTGATGTACACTCCGCGATAATGGACCCGTCGGTAATCATGTTAAGTATCCCGCGGATCGGTCTTTCCTTTGGAAACTATCGCGGTGGTTGCTCATTCTGCCTGCTAGCCTCGGGGGCATTCCTCCTCTGGTCCCCTGTCAGTCTGCCTGCCGGCCGATCTATTTGTCCCCTTTCTTCTCGTAAGATGAAGTTCTTGAGGTATCCGCGTCAGATGAGTTCCTCAATCTCGTCATGAAGATTCCTGCAGTTATTTGTGTTGTGCTCGTGATCTCGATGAAAATGGCAATAAACGTTCGGGTTCCTCGTTGCAAGGTCTCCCCTTAGTCTGGGTAGCCATTTGACGAAGGAGGAGTCCTTAATGGCCATTAGGATCTCTCCTCTCTTAGCATTCAAATGTGTGTAGTTCATCCTCTCCACAGGTGGGGTCCTGGAGCGTCGACTTGATTTGCAAGTTCGAGAGGGGGACCGACTTCTGGAGTTGTTTCTTCCCCTACTTGGGGACTTGCTTTTCTTTCTCTTCTGTTCGCCATTGCTCATTCCTTCATTCTCTCTCTTCCTCTTTTCCAACGGTGGGTTGTCGACCTTTTGATTGATCTCCTCCTCAGTACCGATGAACTGATCTGCTAACTTAAGGAACTCGGTGATGTCCTTTGGTTTGTTAGCTACCACATGCCACTTAAACTCCTTGTGTGTGATTCCTTTCTTGGTTGCAGTAAGTTGTACTACTGGGTCGAGGTCTGGTATTTGCAAGTAAGTATCATTGAAGCGCTTGATATAGCTTTTGGTTGATTCTCCTTCCCTCTGAACCACATTGAGAAGGCTTTCCTGCGACTTCAGACACTTTTTGCTAAAAATGAAGTGTGCAGTGAAAAAGTCGGTGAACTGCGACCAACTTTTGATTGAGCTCGGCATGAGGTTCTGGTACCAAGTTCAAACTACCCCCTTAAATGTAGTAAAGAAGGCTACACACATGCAAGACTTGTCATCCCTAACTAGGTGCATTTGAGATTGGAAAGAGTCCACATGGTCATTAGGGTCGAACGACCCATCATACTTGTCTAATGAGGGCATCTTGAAATCTTTTGGCATTGGAGTTGCCAAGAGCTCGGGAGACAAAGGGGATGACCTGCAAAGTAGTGGAGGCAAAGTGTGTTGACCGTCTCTCATCCCACGGGGCGAGACCTGACTCCTGAGAGGAATTGGTACTTGTGAGGTCTCTTTGCCCCAATGGGGAGATCGGCTGATGTTCTGGTTAGTGCCGAGCCGATTTGGGTTCTAACTATGATGGGGACCTAGGTGCCAAGGTGAAACCGGCTGCTGGTTTGGCTATAGTGGATGGAACTGGTGTTGATACTACTAGTAGAAATAATATTGTTGAAACTGTTGGACCTGCTGCATCTGGATCTAAATAGCCCAGACACACTGAATGAGGTCATGAAACTAGGAATGCCCGATTCTGGGGGGAACCACAGAGGGCTCAAAGAAAGTTGCGCTTACCACTAGGGGAAGTGGGGCACTCACTTGTGTGGTGCTCGGTGGTGCGGACAATGATGAGACTCCAGATGCTGTAAGCGAAACGATGAACTAGCCGATGCGCACCGTAGGAGCTTGGGGGAAGGTTGGTTGCTGGGCTTGCCCCCAATGACATTCATCTCGACACTTTTTCCGATGTGGTTGGAGGATGCCATTAAGGTTGAAGTTAAGCTTGAAACTACAAAGAGATAGGGATGACCTTTCGATCGTTTCCCACAGACGGATGGATGACGAGCCGACTACTCCTAGCTGGAGGGTGATCCGAACTCCAAATAGATGACGAACTGGATCGATCTGCAAAACAAAGTATCAAAGAACCTGGGGTAGCTAACCCAGCGAGGTCGCTCCGATGCTTAAGTCAATAATTATGCTATGAATGTGAACTGAATGCTTGAAAGCTTGAGTGCTAGTGAGTAGAGTAATCACGCGTACCTTTGCCTTGAGGTTTCGAGACTTTATATACTGGGGTAGTCGTGGGCTTTACGAAATAGCTCCAGGACCTACGGGCTATGGAGATAAGGTTGGTTCCGCTTTTGAAGGAGAGCAGTACGTTGATAAGGTTTATCGTCTACCTCCGATTTTGGCGGAACCGGGATAAGTTCTTATCGTGATCTTCGGGAAATTCGGGATCTGTTGGCTCATCGTGACCTCAAGAGATTCGGGATCTGTTGGGGAGGCCTTTGGAGTCGGTTATGCAACGCTTAGGCTTATTAGCTCTGAGCTGAAACTTCGATTCTTCAGTCCTTAACTGGATTGGGTGCTGAGGTGCCTCTACGCCGAGGCGGGTTTTGGTCGAGGTGGTGGAATACCCGAACTACGAATGTTGTGAACTGGGCTTGTCTAGCTGAGCTGTCATCCTTCGATCGAATCGCACCTACATGTCTCCTTCCTGTTAGGTCGTGCCAAATCACCCTTCATCAGATGGCATAGAGAAGAAAAGCAAAGGGAATCCAAATTTTCAACAGATTCATATTCCACTTGAAAAGCTTGGATAGAATGAATAAACACAAAAAACATTTGTATTTGATCCAAATTTTCAAATGAAATCAAATGCTTTTTGTTTTAGTTTTATTTTTAGCAAGAACAAAATATCACTCCTAGGCCTAGTTATTGATTTGAGGTAGTGGTTTGAAGATGTCTTGTCCATTATTCAATATTAATATAAGCTTTAAAATTCTCAAGTTGAAAGATGGCTTTCTCATTTTCTATATCTGTTAGCATTTATAATATTTGAATCACCTATTTATCCCACCCTTAACTTTCCCCACCTACACACTACTGAAGTAGAAGAATTTGGGGTTAGATCCATGTAAGGTAGAGTTTGCTGAGGAGGTATGAACTTGTTAGTGAAGGCTAATGCATGATTGCAAGCAAAATAGGCACTCTAAGGGGACAAGATTACAAGGCAAAGTTTAGAAAGGAAACCCTTAGATTGGTAGCACTTGACTCTACTCTAGACTAGCTAGGGCAAGAAAAGTATCAGGCAGCTTAGACAATCCCTCAATGAAATTAGCACTTAAGGTCCATGGGTTGCTGGTTCTGGTTGAGGTCAAACCAAAGAATTGGTGCCCAGAAAGGTGCAAATCAGTGCTCTTTAATTCATTTAATTTGCTATGGTTGGTGTGGGTTAAAGTCAACATCCATTATCCATGACTAATCACACCAACAACCGGTTTTAACTGATCTGGGTTCACTCAAGAAGCCAATTTAGCTTCCTTAGTAAATGGCTGAACAGACTAAGCTCTGGAATTGTATTATGACATTCTCATAAAATTGAAGCAGTTTGAGTTCCTCTTTACTAAAGCTAAAAGAATTGACACTAGAAATAGAAGTAGGAAGCAACATTACTGTACATAGAAATCAACAGCCAGATTTTATGAATTGAAAGTGACTTAGAGGTGGTGATTTACAATCTTCTAGGGAAGAACAAAATACTCAAAGAAATGGAGCTTATCTTAGAAATACAATGACTATATAAACAAAAGCAAAGAGAATACGCCTAATCCATGAGTTAGACAGAAGAATGAATCATCTTCAAAGCTGCATACCATTCAAATGTTAATAGAGATTATGACCTAATTTAATTCACCCAAAGGGGAAAAAATTATGCAAACTGAAAATGTAAAATAAAAATAAAAAAGATCATCAGCTAAGAAGATATCTAAGGATGTTATAAATTCAAACGTAATACAAAATACAGGGGAAATGTTGAATAGCTCTGTACAAAGGTAAAGATCTGAAAATGTTACTACAAGATACTGCCCAAATCTATTAGAACTACAAATTTGAAAATGTTGAATAGGTGAAGAACATTCTATTTCTTACTTTCAGGCGGTCTAAGAAGGTCCTGGAAATGACGAGGTTGAAGAAGCTTCAAATAAGAGAAAAACTACAAAAAAAAAAAAAGAAAACTAGATCAACGTTAGCATCTATTTTACTGGTTCATATGAAAAAATGCTCAAACACTCAGATAGAATGTAGAAGCCGCCAACAACTTGAATGGAAAAATAGCTCGAATGCTCGGAATCTCAGATCTCAAACGCTCGAAAGTCGCCAACGACCGCATCATTCTAGTGGATGAGGGTAAACTCCTCGCCTATTTCCCTCGATGAAAGAAGGGTGTGAAGCTTTACCTCGAAAAAATCAAAGAAGTTTTCACCCCAAGATCGGTGTAAATCTTGACCTCTTTGCAATTTTACATCGATCTTAGGGGTGTTTTTACAATATCTCCAAACGCATGCAATTGTGGACCGGGGTGCATAATGCACTGAATCGGTATTTACACTCCCTCCAAACGCAGCCTTAAGCTTATTCATTTCCTTTGCAGCTTCTTTTGGAAAGCCAAAACAATTCATTTGGCATTGAGGTACAATTTTGGTTCAAGAACAAAACCTTACACAGGGTGTTTGGAGTTTTTTTAAAAAGCCATAAAGCGAAAAACGTGTTCGGTGAAGTGAAGCAAGAGAGAGAGAGAGAGAGAGAGAGAGAGAGAGAGAGAGAGAGAGAGCATGAATGAACACGCATGCCCGGTTCATTAAGCTCGGCATCGACACCAACCCAATAGTAGCGACTCGGTTGCTCAACGCATACGCTACTTCCTACATGCCAGACTCACTATGTTACGCGCAGCGACTGTTCGATCAGGTTTATTTCAAAGATACTGTGCTATGGAGCTCCATCATTTCAGTTTATACTCGATTAGGCAATTCACACAAAGCTCTCCAACTCTTTGCTCAAATGAAACTTCAAACTCATCCAATTCAACCCAATCATTTCATCTATGCTACTGCCGCTCGAGCTTGTGGTTCTGCCCCAAGTTACTACCTCCACTTGGGCAAATGTATTCATGCATCTGTGAAAAAAGCTGGGTTTATACCCAATATTGTTGTTGAGACCGCTTTATTGGATATGTATGCAAAATGCGGCATTATCGACTGTGCAAGTAAGTTGTTCGATGAAATGTCGGTTAGAAATGTAATCTCCTGGAATGCGATGATTGCCGGGTATTTGCACGGTGGAATGGAAGCTCATGGGTTGCAACTTTTCTATAGGATGAAATGTCTTGAATTTCATAAACCTGATGAGTTTGCAGTTGCAACTGTTTTGGCAGCCTGTGTTGGGATTAATGATTTTACTTTTGGCGCGCAAGTTCATGCTTATCTAGTTCGTACCGGATATGAGTCTGATTGCAAGGATGCAATCTGCAACATGTACTTTCGGTGTGGCCAAGTTTCTTGCGCTGAGAGAGTTCTAAAAGGAAGAGAAGAGAATGCTACTTCGAGGCTTGTAATGATCAGAGGGTATGTCTTAAATGAAAGATACCATGATGCCATGTATTATGTTTCTTGTCATGATAATTTTATTGAAATTGCAGCTGTAGATTGTACTGTAGTCGTGCCCATTTTGACTGCTTGTGCAAGCCTCTCATTGCTTAGAGTTGGAAGGCAGATTCATGGTCTTATCATTACGTTGCTTAATTTCCCCCAGAATTCCCCCTCAGAGGAGGGTATTGCAATTGTTGGAAGTGCTCTGATCAACATGTACTGCAAATGTTATAGTGTAAAAGAAGCTCAACAAGTTTTTGATAGTTTGTTGCCTGACCGGCATGTTTCTCATTGGAATTCAATGATAGCAGGTTACATACTCAATGGTATGCTTGAAAATGCTAGAAGATGTTTTGAGGAAATGCCTGAGAGAGATGTAATCTCATGGACAACAATCATATCAGGATATGTGCAGTATGGCTGTCCACACGAAGCCCTATGGTTACTAGCTAAGATGTATACCAACAAAGATGGTCTTGTTGTGCAAGGAAACTGCTTTACTTTTACGACTTCTTTGGAAGCCTGTAGTCTTCTGTCAGTATTGGAGCTGGGAAAACAAATACATGCTAAATTGATCCGAACAGTAGTCAATGCTGATGTAAATAACGTGGTTGTTGGAACATCTCTAGTGGACATGTACTCGAAGTCAGGTAGTCTGAGTTATGCACAAAGAGTGTTTAACCGGATGATGGAGAGGAATGTAGTTTCATGGACATCAATGCTCACAGGCTATGCCATTCATGGATTTGGGTTTCAGGCCCTTGAGATTTTCCACCAAATGATGGAGATGGGTGTTGAACCCACTGAGGTTACATTTGTTTCTGTTCTAACTGCTTGCAGTCATTGTGGTTTGGTTGAAGAAGGACTTAACTACTTCAAAATGATGAAGGAAAAGTACAGATTGCTCCCAGGATCTGATCACTATACTTGTGTGATTGATCTGTTAGGCCGAGCTGGGAGACTTGATGAAGCTTGGGGACTATTGGAAGAAATTGAGAGTGAAGAAGTCATTGATGGATCATCTATTGAAACCATATGGGGTGCATTGCTGGGGGCTTGCAGGTTGCATGGGAATGTGGAGATGGGGAGTAGAGTGGCTGACAAAATTTTAAAGAAACAACAAGCCTCTGAGACATATATAACACTTTCTAATGTTTATGCAGCAGCAGGGATGTGGCATGAAGTGTACAGGGTGAGGGAGAGATGGAAGAGAGAAAGCAGTGTTCCTGGTTTTCCAGGGCATAGCCAGATCCATGTACACTTTCAAGTTGATGACTTATGATTCAAGAGAAATGTTTATTCTTTTACTATATATACATACATACATATATATATATATATATATATATATATATATATATATTTGAGTGTATTTGGATAAAGTTTTTGTGATTACAGCAGTTGTGATGGGTTCTTTTATCAGGTTCGGTTTGATTTCTGACTACTAACTCAGATATTAGGACATATGGCAAGGCCCCCAAACAGTTGTTTTAACTTGGCAATGAATCCATATTGATACTTGGGCCATTATTGGAATGGATTCATAGAATTCAAGTGCAAGAATGCATGGATTTTGAAAGAGAGACCATCAATTTGAGTGGATTTGAAATCCTTAGGTTGAAGAGGAATAGTCATTTCGGAGATTCTTCTTCTCCCGGACGTTGTCATTACTACAATTAGTAATTGTTCCTGTAATCTTTTCATCTTTTGGCTTCTGTTGCAGCCTTGCAGGAACTAACTCAGCCTTACATGGCTCCAATTTCACTTACCGTCCTGGAGCTTACTTGTTGATAGAGCAATATATTTTGCAGCACCTAAAAATGAAAACAGAAATATGGGTTTTCACTGTTTTCAAGTTATGAAAATAGTGAAAACACAATAATTATGTGGGTATTGACTTGTTGAAGAGGGAGATGAGAAAACAAACCAGGTGTTTGGTGCTATGGTGTTTCAAGTTATATCAGAAATAGAGATTTTTTGACATGAAAATTTCGTTGTTGTTTCAAAGCATCTAATAGCCATTTAGCCATTAGACGCCACATAGCAATGTTTTCAAACCTCTGTTGACCTGGACGGTCGGACCATTCGGCCTGGGAATGGTCTAAGCAACCAGTTCCGTTTTACCCCAAACCTGGTTCTTGGATTAAAACCGTTTAATTGGTCAGTGGTCCATTGACCCAGGTGGTCTAACTATTGACTCATTTAACAGTTTTTGGTTGTTTTTATTTTAATTTTTTTTTTTAAATTTGAAATCTTTTTGTCAGAATGGGCCATTCGTTCAAACTGGATAGTCGAACCATCAACCCGGAAACCGGTGGCCAGAATGGTTCCTGTTCCGGGTCTGTTTTTAAAGCATTGCCACATACGACAAATGAGTGGGAATACTCTAAGATTCCAACACCCTCTATATTTGTGAAACCCGGTGCATGCAATATGTGGTGTTCGTATTTCAGGTTGAATCTGCCCGTTTTTGGAATGTTAATGTTAATTGCCTTTGAGACACTGACGCGATGAAAGCGTTTCAACCTGAAATTGGAAGGTTATCAAACAATCCAGAACGGTTGCCATCTAAAGGTGTATACATGTCTGCGTTTGGTAATAATGCAAATACTAAACCAAAATGAATTTGCACTCTAATTTAGTTTTTCAGGCATTTGGAAAGAATACATTTCTATACTTAAAATAACAGTAAATTAATTTGTTTTTGTCACATGTTTACATGCAAAATGGAGCAAAGTTTGTTTCCAATAAATGGATGCAAACTTGGAATTCAAAGTTTATCAATGTAAAAAAAGACATTTCAGTCTTGAAATTTGTGTTTGTACCCATTACAACCAGATACCTTAAGTAAAGAATACAAAATTTATCTATGAGAGAAACCAAACCAAATCCAAGTTTACATTTTCATGAGAGAAAAAGAAGAAAACGTTTCGGAGAGAAATTAATAAAGTAAAAGTTCTCAAAATTGTAAAGTCTTTTCTAGTCATTTTACTGGTCGCCTTGTGCCTCATCACTCACTAAACAACTTAGGGATCATTTACTATGCACAACAGATGAAATGGCTGAATTGGATGGCTTCTTTGTCTTTTCGTTAAGTCATTCAGGAGGTTGCAAGTTATTTAATGGCTGAAGCTGAAATATGGTTGATTACTAAACCCTTGAATATTTTATTATTTAATTATTTTATGCAATAAATAATAAATCATTCAGTTGAGCCATTTCAGCCAGTATGTAATAAGTCAATACTACGACTCAAAACCTCAGATATGGGCCTCACCCAACCTAAGGTCAAGCCCAAATTTACCCACATTGGCCCAACCTGAGGTTAATCCAATACAATTGAGGCTAGGCTCATCTTTTTACTGGGTTTTGTGGCCAATTTATGAATAGGATGATAAAATAACCAAATATAGTTTAGGGTGTATATGATGTTATAAATATGTAAAATAGGGTTAGGTTGGACCCGGTTCTGACAACCTGATTCTACCCAAACCCAAAAACTCAAGCCCAACTCATACAAAGAATTTGGATTGGGATTGGAACCTTGGAAATGCAGAATACATGACCCCATTCACACCAAGCATGTTTCTTTTTCCATTTTCCGGCAAACCCCCTCATCAAAAGAAACCAAAAGAGGGAGGTCGGTAAGCTCATGCCAAAAACAAAGAGCAACTACTGGCAAATCCCCAAATCAAAACAACTGTTGTAGAGTAGAGCCCCTAAGTTTGCTTGTTTTCATGGCTACAAACACCCCAATTGCTCAAAGAAATAACCAAATTAAAGTTCCAAGTTAAATTCTAATAAAAAGAAACATTAATTAGAGCTTGGCATACACAAGGAGGAATGATCTTTTCTAAGTAGTACTACAGCTTTTATATATAGTAAAGCCTTGAGCCAAGCTTAACTGACTAAAAAGCATTCACTGCAATCCTCATGGCTGCTTCACAGTGGCCGGGGAAACCGCAGATGAAGTAGTGAGGACCCTCTGAGAGTGTGATCTGATCGTTCCCACTTGTGTAGATCGTAGAGCCCACAGCAGGCATGCAGCTATAGTATCCATTGTTGTCAACTTCGACCACATTATGGAGCATTGGGTCGTAACTGAACACTGTAACACAAAGTAGATGCAAGTGAAAGATGAAGGAGAAGCCAAATGAATACAATACATCATCAAAGGAAGAGTTTCTTTCTATACTATACGTACGTACCCAGTGTGTCACCGGCCTTGAACGTCTTCCCGTCCGGCCAGTTTTGGACATTGTAGGTCCAACCGGCGTCGTCGCCGACGACATAGCTAGTGGCGCTAGTAGTGTCCAATTGGACAAGGAGGCAAAGCAGAAGAAGAGAAGCCGCAGTGGTTGCAGCTTGGGTAGCACTGCCCCTTCCCTGAGCAGCCATCTGAGCGACCTTATAAGAAATGAGAAGATGTTGGAGGAGTTGGTATCGGACCTTGAGATGAAGGAAATGGGTAGTGGTTTTGCTGCTTTTATAGACCCATTATGGCTGACTGCAATTGGTTTAAAGGCGTGCAGTACCACTCACCTTAATTTATGCATAAACTAGCGGGCCCGTGCGGTGTACGTGAAAATCAGAAAATTGATTCATTTTATTAACTGTAAATTAATTTGAAAGATGTTATAGGATTTTTTTTTTTTTTTTTGCTTGGCAGAGGTCAAAGTACAGGAAGGCTTACAAATTAGGGAGAATGACAGTTAAGCCCTGCGTCAGAATTCTTAAGTCCAATGCACAGTTAAGTTGGGGAAGGTGCCAGCTCGGAATTGATGCCAATTCACAAGCAGGCATTGGTGTATAGAGTGGGGATTTTGATATTTTGAATTTTTATAGGTCTACAGTGAAATTCAGAATTCTGCAATAAATTGCAACGTACTTTTGCATAAAAGGTATTTCTCCATGGGGCTACACAGCCGGTTTGGGAGGAGGGGGGATCATCCCCCAAGCCCATAAAGCCTCCCAACCCTTGCACAAGCAGGATTTGATCCTATGTCTCTGCTACAACCAGCAGGAGACCTTAACAATCAATCAGTTGACACTTTGCAGAGGATTTGTAAAACTAAATTAATAAAATACTCTTTTTATTGATATGAATAAATTAATTTAAAAAATGAATTTATGAATAATTAATTAATGAAAATATCAATAAACTTTAGTAAGTTAGATTTTTTAAATTAACTTTCACTAAGATAAATTACAAAAAACATGAAATCAGTTTATTGAAATCACTAAATTAAAATTTCCTAATAAATACAAAAAACCAATGTAAACTGCCAATAATTATGGAAATTATTTAAATTCTCCAATTTAATATTTTTCCAAAATTATCCATTTTTCTAAATAGCTATGGAAATTATCAATATAGTGAAAATTCCCCAATAACTTTCCAATTTAATATTTAATATTACTAAAAATAAATGTAAATGTAAATATCAATAAATAAACTTTCATTATTGAAATTAATTTTCGAAATCAATAATTTTCTAAAACTACTAAAATTTTCAAGTTTATCAATTTCATAAAATAATAATATATAACTAATTTCATATAATAATAATAATAATAATAAATTAATTTTCAAATATTGAAAATTTTCAGTAAATATCAATAATTATTAATCTTTTCATTAGTTATTGATTGTTCAATAATTACTGATATGAATAAATTAGTTTTCAAAAATAAATTTATTTATGAATAGTTAATTACTCAAAATATAAATAAATTGATATTTTAATTAGTGCAATGAAAATAATTTTCTGATGATTGCTGAAAATCATAATAATTATCAATTTCAGATCATATAATAATGTTTTATTAATTTCATATAATAATAATTTAATATTTAAATATGGAAATTTTTCAGTATATATCAATAACTATTAATATTTTCTTTAATTATCAATTTGAATAAATTAATTCTCTAAAATTTCTGAATTTATGAATAATTAATTACTTAAAATGTAAAAAAGTTATAGTAAATTGGATTTTTTTAAATTAACTTTCACTATATTAAATTACATAAATATTGAAAAATTAGTTTATGGAAATCACCAAATTAAAATTTCTCAATAATTACCAAAAACCAAGGCAAAATACCAATAATGAAATTATTATAATTATCAATATTAAAATTTTCTAATAATTTTCTAATTTGATTATTACCAAAAACCAATGTAAATTACCTATTTTTAATTATGAAAATTTTCTAATATTACTTGTATATTGTCATTCATGGAGAGATGTTCCCGATGTGCAGCTATGGTGTCCTATGAGTAGGCATAGGAATGGTTTTTTTGGTTAGGAGATCTAGACTTTCTATCGTCCTATGTAAGATCCTTCCTCTCTTGATGGAATGGCTTTTAGTTTTCAAGGTAAGWGACTTAAACTAGAGGTGTAAATCGGGTCGGGTCACCCGCGGCCCAGCATGGCACGATGGCTAACGGGTCGTGCCAGGCCTAGTACAGAGGTCCGTGCCATGCTGGGCTAGGGGTTTGAGGTCCATGGGCTGGCATGGTATGGCACGACAGCATGTGTCGTGCTGCCCGCCGGCACGGCCAAGCCTGCAACATGACACGAAGCACGGCCCGTCAGGCCCATAACAGGTCATGCTTAGCCCACCCAGGAATATAGCCATTGGGCCCCCCTCCCAAAGGGGCCCAATAGCTAGTTTCAGCTTTTGGGTTTTTTTTTTTTTACAGAAATACCCCACAATAGCTATAAACAGCCATATTAGGGGGGTATTTCTATATTTTGCTTAGGGGGTTGAAAAAATGGCATAAATGCCCCCTAACAACTATATAACAACTAGTTTAGGGGGGCATTTTGGGTAAAGTTATAAGTAACTTTACAATGACCAAAATACCCCTCCCAACAACTAAATAACAGATAGTTTTTTGGGTATTTTGTGCAATTGAATTATGTTCAATTCCTATAAATAGCCCTATCATCCACCATTCTCATCACACCAATTCAACAATTCTCTTAATTCTCTCTCTCTCTCATACTCGTATATTCTCAATTATCTGCAATCTGAGAAATTCTGATTAACTGATTGTCTGATTTTGCATTCTCCAATCCTCAAGTCTCAACTTTATCAAAGTTTCGACTTTCAACAAGAAGAAGGCTTGTTCAACCAGCTCAAGTATCTCAATTCGAGAGGCTTGSACGTTGAAAGGCTTCAATCTTTGAAATCAAGTTGGGATTTTGAACCGATAATCCGGGTAAGTCGAATTAGATTAATTTTTATCTTTTTAGAATTAAAAAAAATGGTCAGCCCTTCTCAAAATCGATTCCCCAACAACATGTTTACCATGGATGACACTCAATCACATCACGGTAGTATTAGTATAAGCACTGGTGTCGATGCGTTTGATGTCGATGGAAGTGGAACTTTCATCCCTAGTAGTAGTGATACTAGGGGAAAAATGAGGGCTTCTAAGCTAAGTAGTCCGGTTTGGAAAGTTTTCAAAGTAGAGTATATTGAGGGGATGAATGTAAGAAAGAGTTTAGTTATTGTAGCAAGGGTGGTACGGGTCATTTGAGCAAACATCTACTCACACATGAGCGAGAGGAAGATGAAGGGAGAGAAACAACCCAAACACAAATTGGGAGGGGGACTAGTTTTGGTACTTTTAGATATTCACAAGAAAAAATGAGACAAGAACTTGCCAAGTATATTGTATATGCAGAACAACCATTTATGTTAGCTAAAGATCCAAAGTTAGAAAAATGGTCACGTAGTTCCGTAAACCCACAATATAAAAAAGTTTCTAGGAATACTATAAGAACTAATGCTTTAAAAATTTTTTATTCATATAAACAAAATTTAATTTCTTTGTTAACAAATCTTAATTCTAAAGTTGCAATTACTTTGGATGTTTGGACATCCAAATTTAATATTACTTATATTTGTGTTACTGGCTATTTCATTGATGAAAATCGGCTTTCAAATAAAAGAATTTTAAGTTTTACTAGGCTTGAATGGCCACATAGTGGCCCAACTATTACTGCAAGTATCTTATATACTTTGCATGCTTATGGAATATAAAACAAATTGTTTTCTATTAGTTTTGATAATTCTAGCAATAATGATTCTGTAATAAATATTTTAAAATCTCAATTAAAACCATGCTTAAATGGTAAATTATTTCATATTAGATGTGCATGTCACATCTTAAAATTATGTATTCAAGATGCCTTGAATATTATTTCAAATCATATTTCAAAAATTAGAAACTGCATTATATATAAAAAAAAGTTCAAGGGCAAGAAAACAAGAATTTAAATATTTATGCCAAAATTATGGTTTAAAATATAAACATTTTATATTAGATGGAAAGCATAGGTGGATTTCTACCAATGCTATGTTAGAAAGTTGTATATCTCAAACAAATTCTTTCTGATTTTTATAATTTAAAAATGCCTAATGATATGATATTTGAGGAARAMYRGGAAATGGYARTCTGTATAAGAGATTTTTTAAAACATTTTTATGATGCAACAAATGAATCATCTGGAATTTATTATTCAACTAGTTGTAATTTACCGTATCAATTAATGGTAATTAGTGATTGTTTTGCCAAATATAGAAATAATCCACAATTTCAATGTATTGTTGAAATTATGGAAAATAAATTTAAAAAATATTGGGAGAACATTTCTCCCCTTTATTGTTTAGCTACAATATTAGACCCTAGGATTAGGAAAGATGGTTTAGATATTTTACTTAAAAACATATTATGAAAATATGAATATTGATATAGGAAATAAAAAAGAAAAAAATAATAATTTATTATTTAAAATGTATAGTTTGTATGAATCTAAAGTTGTAGGAAATATTCCTACAACTTGTTCATCTTCTTCTTCTTCTCCTTCTGACTTTGAACCCAGTAGTAGAAGAGAAAAGCTTTTCTATTTAATAAGTAGAAGGCAGAAATCTGCTAGTTCTACAACAAGTTCATTTACTGAACTTAATTTTTATTTGCAAGCAAAATTTTCTAATTTAGGTGAAGTATCAAATAATTTKTATGTTTTAGCTTGGTGGAGTGAACACTCGAAAAATTATCCGGTTCTCGCTGCCCTTGCACGTGATCTACTAACCCCTCTGGTGTCTACAATTCCATTGGAGTCTTGTTTTAGTGTAGGTACTAGGGTGCAGGATGACAAAAGAAGCTGCATGAACGATGAGAGCATAGAGGTGTGCATCTGCTTCAAGGATTGGATAGATGCAAAAGATAGATTACAAGACAARGGAGGGCATGATACAACACCGGACATTTCACCTGAAGCAGATGATGAAAGTCATGAATGATGATTCATGAATTTGACTACTTGTAGAATTTTTCATTTTGTCAAATTATTGTAAAATTTTTAAATTTTATTTAATATATTTGATATATTTTTTTTATTTTTTAAAAATGTAATTTTGTATTTTCAATTTATAACTGT